ACCATGCAATATTAAAAGCTTTAAACTGAAAAAAATAAAATCAAAATAACAGCAGTGTGTACTACATTATATCATTATGGAGGAGCAGTCAAATAATATGATAACAAAATGTGTTATCGTAATAGTGATAATATGGGTCTATCAATAACAACATTGTAGGCCACATGAAGAATCAGAATCAAAATCAGCTTCACCGGCCAAGTATTGACGTATATATAAAGAATCTGACTTAGCTTTTTCTGTTACTCTTTTAGGCTTGAACTAGAAAAATAAGAAACACAACAGAGATCAGTGATAAACACAGAAAGAATAAATGTTTCATAGTGTCACATGCTACCAACTCCTGTTCCATTCAACAGTAAAGAGCACCAGTCATTAATTAACTAAGGTCCCCAAAAGAAAAATATAAAATTATCAAAAATACTAATTTTTCAGCCGTCATTTGTGCTTACATCCACAGGATGGTGCCATGTTATAAGGTTTGCATTGCAAGGGCGAGAAAAGCAGAATTTTCTCCTCAATATATTACATTTTTGATGGTTTTGCACTAGTTTATGTAAAGTAACCTTAAATAAGCTTAACATAAGGTAGTTTAACCTAAACTAAGTCATTTAAATCATTTGTTCAATCAACAATGTTTGGTTTTGTGGCTATCATTTACCCAAACTCTTTGGCAACCTAATAGCTTTCATGTTTGTCTCCAGCCACCCTGCTTCTGTTAACAAAGGCTTTGTTTGTATTGGACACAGCTTATGAAACATTTATTCCGTTGAGTCAACACTGTAAAAACGAAACATTCACACAAAAAAGTGAGGGAGCAGCTGGGAAACTAGCTCTGAGCAGGCCAAATGTCAGATGGTGCAGTTGCCTTCGTGGAGATGGGGGAAAGTTTAATTAACACAAATGATTTGTATCTTATCTGTGGAGTAGATCCACACCTCTGTGTTTCACTGACACACTATAACGAGCACTTCTTTGTTAACGCTTGATTTCAGATACAGTTTATTAAACACTGAACAGCATTAGCCTCATTAATCCATGCATGTCTGGCTGCCAATCATCCATTTGCCTTTTTGAGCAGATGTACTGATGCCATTCTTCACGCATTTTTAGACACCATCTGTCAAAATCTGAATAATTGAGCACCATATCTACTGCTGTTTAACATTTGCTGAATCTGAACACAGACAAAGTCCTGGGAGGGTTTAGTCTGCGCTTTAATGTCATGAAACATGTATTGGCCCTTTTTAAGAGAGACATTCGTGTGTTTTTACCTAAAAGAAAAACACATTTAACAGAAATGTTTCCCTTTTCTTGTCTCCACTACCACTTAAAGTCATCCTTCTACTCAGCATGGTGTGGGTCCGTGTGTGCCTGGGTGTGTTTAAGCGCCTCTTGCACATAAGCATTTCTCCTGGGTTTGCTCCAATTAGCCAGCCAGCTTGCTGTTTTTGCAAAAACACAACCCTCGTCACCAACTTCCATACAATACTTTCTATAATCTGTCTATTTTTCAGATGACTCATCCACTGAATAACTAAAGGTTTCTGTTTTGGTATAAGAAGTTCACAGGGTCTGTTTTTGATATTTTTGTTGCCTTTTCAAGCTGTGCAACACAACATTTGCATATCACATTTATTATTTAAGTAACAGGGAGGCATTTGTTTGGTAGCTTTTAACATAAAATGATCAAATGTACGAACACAATTATACATTTTAAGTTAAAATCTGTAATTAGCACATCCAACGTTATCACAGCAGTGCGGTCCTTCTTCTGCATGCATTTCTGAAAACACAGACGGCACAGTGAAGCCTTGGTTTTAATCCAACTATGTGTCTTTTACTTCTTAATGTTGTTCATTGTCTCGGCGGGAGCTAGAGCCAATCCTCACTAACATTAGGCAAAGAAGGTGTCCACCTCAGACAACTGGACACTTCGACACAAAGCCACATGAAGGACTAACCAACCTCTCACAGATAGATAGAAAGCTAAGTCCTACCCTGTAGGTTGATTTGAACTTGGCAGTAAACTGCAGTAACCAAAGATTACAAATGGGGGAGCATGCAACCTCTGTACAGCAAAGGCCAACTACTCAAGCTAGGACTTAAACCACTGACCTTTTTGCATGCAACACCAGAATCCTCCCTACCCACCACACCATGTCTGAGCCAAAGGTAGACACAATTATACCACGGCCTATATGCTTCAACTGGAGAAAAAAGCTTGTAAAGAGAAAATGTTTACAAGAGCGAGATGAAGAAATTATAGGGTTGAGCTTTTCATATGTAATAGAAAGAAGAAAAAAAGAAAAAATGTATCGTCAATATCTTATGACAGGTGAGGATATTTGAGAGACAGACTACAATAAGCAGTCCCACAGAGTGCCTTAAAAATAAAGCATTTTAAATCAATTTTTGATGCAGCAGAAGAGCGTGAAAAGAAGCCTGCAGCACAGGAGACTCTCTGCCTCTTTGGTGCTGCTAGAAACTGATGCAACAGCACTATTTGACAGTCATATGAAGCTGCAAGAGAAATGGGTGTTTAATAACTGAGCTCATGCCGAAGCACGTGAAGAAGAGGTGTAAGAAGATGGCATCTAATAGCTATTAATGAAAAAATGCAAAAGTGATTCCTAAATGGACAAATTAAAAACCAGAAAAAATAGCATCATTAATTATAGCCTTGTCAAAGCAAGGAAGCACACGCATCATTTCTTTTTAGCATTAATTGCCTGACAAGAATTTAATAAACAAAGCAAAAATGAAAAATGTAGTGGATGAGGCAGTCTCTAAAGCTTTAACACCTTAGTGTCTTTAAATAGTCTTAGGGAAGTAAACCTGTCTAGGAACTAAATCTACTTTACTAAATTTAATCATTTACAGTTGCTTTTTACTTTTTGTGAGACAGCTATTGACAATTCATGACACGAACAAGTCTTTAAGCATCTTCACTTCTCAGAACTTAGGTTGTAGGCTTCATCTAAGACACCTGCTGATGTAAACAGCTCTAAGAACACATGTACGGTACCAGTCCTGACCTCCGTGGCTTTGTTGAGAAGTTTGGCCCTGCAGCAGTAACCACAGCTGTCTGGTGATTGTCTTGCAGCACTTTAAATTCCTCCATCGTTCATTGAATAGCAAACTCAAATCATTGTAAGTGACACTGCTGGTGGCATAAATCTAATTAGGTTTTATTCCTACACAGTTTCAAAACAACAATAATCCTACGAATGAGGACCACCGTAGAAGAAGAGAAGAGAATGTGTTATCGATTTAGAACTTAATGATGTCCTCCATATTCTTTAATTTCAGTGAAAAGACTTTTCTCTGCAAATGTCATTGCTGCTCTATATGAAAGAGGTGAATCGGAAGATATAGAATATGGATTGCAGGCCTCAGTGCACTAAACGAAAACAATTAAACAGGGATTCGGAGAAATCCAGATTTTTCTGACCAACTACAGGTTAAATTCAAAGACAGGAACAGATTGCAGACAGACAGCAGGAGACAGAGATTGCCGGAGGTCATCTGTTGCCGTCTGTCCGTCCTCAACACAGATGTTAACCAGCTTACACAGACATTCTGTGGTCCTTACACAGTTTCCATTCAGTGATCTAAGTCTTGACTGAGCCATAAAAGCTGAAGATGATCAATGAAGATGGGCCTCCAGAGACACTTTTCACACTTTTAAGGAGGTCGTCAGAAATCAAAAAAGATGAGTCTTTCACAGTGCTAGATGCAGAGTTCTCATGTTTCCAGTGCTTTCTTCATCTACATCTGAACTTCCATATCATTACATCACAGTTTAAGAAAAATGTAAATGGTTTGACAAAAACAAACCAAGCTCTCCCTGGAGCAGCTCGAAAATCTCTATTCATATTTACGAGCCTGTCATTGTTTAACAAACTGCTTACGAACCAAAAAGACAAATAGAGTCATTTTGCAGAAAAATGACTGACAGCTTTAAAAAGGTCTCTACTATTAAAAAAAACAGTATGTATGATATGTCCGGTCACATAGGCACATATTCTTCTGGAGGTCTTATCACCTGACACAGGCCAAGGGGAATTCACAGCACCACTAAATGGAAATGGAAATGCCATTAATCAGCTGTGCAGTGATGGTTGTGGCTGCACCATTCAAAAAACAAACTGGACTAAATACATAATCCATTGACAATTTAATTTTGTCTCATAACAGGCGGTTCTCTCCCATACATTTTGCTGACTCCTACCTTTGATTTGATTTGGTTTTGAACACTGGCCGTAAGTCAGTGCTTTTAGATTAGCTCCTTGTTGGCCAAATGACCCATAAATTTGTTTTATGTTGTATTGGTGTAGACTGTTCCTCTTCCCTGCCTGAATGATTCTTCTCTCTGCGTATGTTTTATTGTAGTGCGGAGATGAGCCGCCACTGGCTGTCTCCAGCACTATGTACTGCTGTTTGTCTAACAGATTTAGTGCAAAAGCAGCAAGGGACCTTTGTGTGGAACCAAGCCTTAGCTTTAAGACCGAGTTAATTGTTACAAAGTCTTCTACAGTGACGAAAAACAAGCAAACAAAAAAACAAAAAAAAAAAAAAAAACAAAAAAAAACAGACATTTCTAGAGTTTTTCCTGACATGTTTTAAGTCCAACAGCCTACAAATGCCATTTCCACATTATCCGCAACTTCTCAATTTTCCAAATACACTCCTTAAGTGTGGAGTTTCCTGCCTGCATGTTTGGATCAGTGTTTCATCCACAAGTCTGTGCCCCTCTGTCCCAGACCCTGCTGCTCAGAGAGGTGTTGATGATCACCTCACATTGTAACATCACTCTCCTTCCCTGACAAGGCTTTAAAACACGGTTACCCATCTCCTAAAGTCACCTGTTATTACCATCAACAAATGTTCTTACTGCAGGTGTTCAATTTCCCAGTAGTTCTCCCACTCCTCCTCTAATTCTTTGTTCACCCCTCCCCCCCCAGCCTCCTTTCCCCTCTGTCCCCAAACCCAAACACACACATTCTCACTGTTCTACCTTACACTGCAACCTGCATTCCATTTAATCTGATCACAGCTATGCCTTCATACAGAGGAACTGTAAAGTAATCTAAAAAAAAAAGAAAAAATCAGAGGGCGCTGGCTGTGCAATCAGGGCAGAGATTTCTTCGCGTTTATTCTCAGCTCCCCTCTCTGCCTGTGCCCTGTGCTGCTCCTACTCTCAGTGCACTGCAGCTCCTCCTTCCACCCCTCATCAGCTGCCCCTCCCTCCATCTCTCCATCCCTCCATCCCTCTTCCTCTCTCTGGATATGCTCTAGGTGCAGCATGTATGAGAGTCTGTGCGAGCCAGCAGAGCTGCCCGTGTGTTTACATGTCAGCCTATCAGTGCTGCTGGATTTAGCGCATCTGGAGAGGATGGAGGCATTTCACAAATGCTCCTAAGACAACGGATTCTTGTCGCTGCATGTAACCCTCTTTCCCCCTCCAATTTGAATCTTTCCTGTCTCCTGTCCTGCATCCCTGCCTCCATGCTTTTGGAGGCATTCTGAATTTTGTTGGCAACATGGAGCTGCCCGAATTAGAATTCTCTGCATGACAGCCCTGGTAAGTACTTGGTCTCTATGGTGGGCTTTGAAAGCTGAGGTACAGGATCAGATTTATTATGGTGCAGTGGTGGGGCCAGGGAATTGTCAAGGAGCAAATTAATGTCAAGGATAAAATAGTGTATCACAGGCAAATGGATGGGGTAAAAAGGAAGAATTGTTTTCCTGGAGACAGCTCCAGATCTTATTTGTGCTTCGTCATCTAGATGGGTTACATCCTGTTGTGTGCTGGCCAATCTGGGGTTTGTCTGATAACACACTGATCATCTGTGCATCTACTAGTTACACTTAAAAGAAAAAGAGGGTCGGAGAGTGGAAACTCATTAAGTGATGCATAAACAGAGAAGCATCTGAATGGTGTGTTTTAATGGAAATCTTTCAACATTTCATTGTCGTGATTACACATCTAACCTTTTATAACTACTAAAGAAAAGGTGTGTGACTGAACGAGACAAGTGTGTTTTGTGTTGTTCCCTACAAGTGTCTTGCCAGGATGGTTATTGTTGCCTCATAATCACTATCCTGAATATCATGCTCTTTTTAAGACTGCTAAACTTCTCTAGTTTCACACGTTTGTTTTTGTTTTTTATTTTTATTTTTTGTATTCTCAATATCCTAGTGCCTGTGAAGATAGATGAGGAATGAGGCGTCTATGCAGCTGTTTGCTCAAATGTTAGATATGATATGTGCTGATGAAGCTGTTGGAGCAGAGATGACCAGGAGACTGGGGTGAGATGTACTGACACTCTGATAAGTTACCTGCTTTTATTTGCCTGCATCTCTTTAAAAATAGCTGCAAGGCTCCAGCAGGTAGAAGGCTGAGAGAGGACGAGAGCTGGGTGTTTTTAACAGTGCAGTGACAGCCTCTGCCAACCACTGCCTACCTCCCTAAACAACAGCTCCTAGATGAAAGACTGTGCTCATCATGTCAGTGCCATATTAGCTACTCACGGCTTTTAATTGGACTCTCATAATCAGCTTATAATGGCTGCTCATGCTCGTTCCTTTCTTTTTCCCTGCAACACTTAATGCGTGTCCCTCTGTGCATACAACTGCAGCTCCATCAGAGAAGAGACACAGAGTAGATCAAATGAAAAACATGTGCATATTTAAAATGATGTTTACATGTTAAAGTCCAGGGAAGATGGTTTGAAAGCTTCTAAAACTCCAGTTTGTAATTAGCTCTCTTCTGACTAAGTACGTAACAAAAAATGGTCTCAAATAGTTTACGCATCGCAGTAACTTCCTTTAAGTCTGACTTTTCTTTAGTCCTCTGATAAGCCTGACGTGATGGCAGCAAGCAGACTATTAGACGACCAAGGCATCAGTCACAGACAGTGTTCACTCATGTGCATCGTTTCCTGTCCTGCTCTATGTCTCTTTCCCCTAAATATGGCAGGATCTCACAGGAGTGACATTTTGTTTCAATAAAACCTGAAACATTTGATTGAGATCATAAACACTAAAAAATATAACTGATTAAGATATTTATCTGTTATCAGTTCATCTGAGAAGCAGCAGTACTTTTACATGGCTTTAGATTTACATTCATACTGACTGAAACTATTGGAATTGGCAGAGCAGTTCAGTTTTTAGTTCTTTTTAATAAGTGAGTTTGGCTGGATTTCACATTTAGTTTGTAATTTAATTTCAAACAGCTTAACTGCTAAGGTTAAACTGTTTTTGTTGGCGTTGGTGTCCCCTGTTGACATTAAGGCAACATTTATGCAAATTACAGCTTTAAAATGTAAAGGTCCAAATCATAATATAATTTGGGGTTATTTGCATATAGAAGAGAGAGAGAAACAAAAGCTTGTTGTTGAGTGGTGACAGTGAACAAAGAATCCAATGACAGGACATTGATCGAGATCCCATCTATGACAAGCAGGGAAGAGCAACGCCAGGTCAGGATTGATGAAAGATTTAATGTGGTTATAAATCTGACGTTGTCTTGTAAGTACTGAAAACGATTACTGCTGTGTAAAATGAATGTAAATAAAGATACCAATGGATACTGATGCCACACATATGCTGCAACAACCTCCCTGTTTTATGTCAATGTAAAAAAAATGGCAAAGCAGACACGTTTATTATTCCAAGATTAAATCTTTTCCCTGTGTTTAACTGAGCATGAGTGTGTGCAGGTAGCCCTCCCCTTAAACAAAAACATTATTTTGAGTAGGTGAAAAAGGTGTCCGAGGCAGACAATTCTCAATTTTTCATTCACTGAGTAAAGGCAACTCTGGACACTGTCTGTTGGTTTTTATTTAGAAAAAATATCAGTGAAGAGGAGGTGAATATACGATTGGCAATAGTCCAGTGTGTATGAAGGTGCTCTGAGATGCTGTTCACTCACACAGCTTTAGTGCAAATCAAGACTTATTGTACGGTAGACACTTGTATAGTGTGAGGGCACCACTCTCCCAGGAGACAGATAAGTATCTGCAGTAAAAGATGATTAGGTTTGCACATGTATATAAGAACAAATATTACATTCATTAAACTGGATTAAAAGCTGAATATTATGCATACAGAAATTAAAAGGAACCAGACAAACAGTTAACCCACAGCATCATCTCCTTGTTCCTGTTGTAACTCCCTCCTTTGGTACATGTCGTTACATGTCTAACACAACACTCCACGAAAGCCAATCTTCTCTAAGTGGGATAAAGTAAGGATCATCAGAGACAAAACGTTGCATTTATATTAGGATTCTCTTTCTTCACAGTCCAAATGGAATTGAATTCAAGCCTTCAAATCACATGTAAGAGAAAATAACAACCTAATATGTGATGCAGGAAACAGGAGGGACAGGTGCTGAAACTAAAGCTTCTCATGGCTTAACACTGTCAGCACAACTAGACTGAAGAAAACTAAAATACATTTTTAAAAAAATATACTTCTGCTGGGTTACTAAGTTTAACCCTTTCAGGTCTCATAAAATCCATTCTATTTACAGCTTAATCTCTGCAGAGCTGCATATAACACATCATCTGTGATGTTCCAGTAAAAAGCACAGTGTTATGTGGCCAAAATAATGACGAGGAAGTTACTATTAAACCATTTTCTGAAACAGGATCCATTTTGAAGCTAAGACACTCTCACATAATGGATAACATCAGCCACCGTGAAAAGGAAATGGGGAAAGTGATTGTGGCGAAGTCTGCAGGACCTGGTGTTTATACAGAGTGTGCTGGACAGAGGGTGACACGGGACGGCAGATGTGTCACCGGATACTCACATTTGTGTCGTACAAATGTATTTAGAAGGTCACAGTCCCGGTGTTGTGTGGAAGCCGGCCTCATTTAAATTTAATGATAACAGCTTCATGCAAAAATATGAGACCGGTCAGGGGCCGGTGGGATGGAGGACTGAGGTTAGCTCATATTGTGCTCTGGGCTGAAAATAGCATCATAGCCTCTAGATGTGGATGCTAGGGACTGATCACAGTGGAAATTTGCAAAGCATATCTACCCAGGTATTCTCTGTTGGTTTCAATCTGATGACTGCAGTAAGGAAGTAGCTCAACAGCTCCTGTGGAAGATCATGCTTCCTCTCTACGGAGTTGAAAAAAAGCAAAGCAATTAACATAATGACACAACAAAGTCTGTTGGCCTGTCTGATATCCCTTGCAGCAGATCAGGTCATCCACTGAGAATGTGTGAGGAAATGTCAGCATGTCAGGTGATGAGGTTGTGACTACATGGAATGATGGAAATACAGCGATAGACAATGGGATTTTAGTTCTGTGGCACATTTTTAGATCTGACGCAGAGCCAGAGACACACCCTGTAACAGAGAAGGGATCTTTATAGATCTTTAATTCTTTTTACAGTTAGATAGCATAGACCAAGATCAGATCAGGTCTAGATTCAGGGTGTGGCACACAGGACAAGTCATCAACTGGGAATTTGAGGTGTTAAAAATTAATGTAAAGTTTGGTGCTTTTTAGACATGTTCTAATATAAGAAGTGAAAAAAAAAGCTGACAAACCTGTGTTTGTTAAGGTTATAATGTACTATAATGTTATAATGGACTCTATCGTCTTTGATGGATCAACTCCAACTATTAACTGACTGTAACTAACAACTGGTTGTAGAGTTGTTTTTTTCTATGACTCAGTCAAGAAGTTAAATGTTTCTTGGAAAATCACACTATGCAGGCTATTAGGAAACTTGGATTCACTGAACTGCTAATGACAACTTTGCAGCCAATTGTTAATTAGAATCCAGTTAAAATGGACACTTTTGTTTAGTTTTGTTTTCCAATTTCGGCCCTTGCCGTCACTCTCCAATACTTTCCTTTAACCTGAATTCTGTTTTAATGGTCACAGATGAGATGGGTGGGTGTGTTGTTTGGCTTGAGTAAATTAATCAAGTAAATTAATTATTATTAATTCTGTAGAAAAATATATTTTTGGCATTGAACACTAAAAACATATTTAAGCTTCTCTGTCAAAGACAAATCATTAGTAGCTGTACATCATATGCTGGCTGTGGCATTGTCTCTTGCCATGCCTCTGGTTTTGAAACCATGTACTGTAAAATTCTACTTTTCAATGTCAGTATGTCAGGATGTTGAATCTAGTGTGAATACGCAGAGGTAGCATAGTGTAGAGTCTTTTTATGACAAAGCACATACTGATGCAGGGTCTTTTTCACTTTATGGAGGAAGCTGCGTTTGGCTTTTGTAACCTCCCTCAGTGCGTTTTGCTCTCACAAAACTCTGTCGCCACCTGTGTAAACACAAAGCTTTTGGATTCTGGAGTCAGGAGGGGGTTGCACCACAGTGAACCACAGCTTGTTAGTGTACATAAGATACAAGAGTGTCATTCAGTTCATCCAGGTTGGCAGCGGTATCTTTAAAGCAGTTCAGTCTGTTCAGTTGAACAGTCTGCAGCTTAGTCCACGTTGTCTCACTGTCCCTGTCTTTATTCTTCTGACAACAGTGGCTGCCAATTGTACTTTCCGTTTAACTAGATGAAAGATGTGGAACCACTAA